AAGAAGTCGAGCCAGATACGGGGCGAGCTCGCAGCATATGTGTACAATGCCCTGAAATAACTATCAACATTGCTGGTTTGGAAATTCGCGTGTTGATAGATACGGGCAGTTAAGTAACGTGCATCTCGGATGATCTGTTTAAATGCAATACGAGAATATTCGGAAACTTTCCGATTTTACCTGTAGTCGGTACAGTAATCAAATGTGCGACCGGATTAAAGTCAACGCGTATAGATAAGCAGATTATGTGCTCAGTACACGTGGGAGAGACGTATAATGACTTAATTTTTCTCGTTATCCCTAAGCTCATAAGAGATTGCATTTTTGGTATGGATACAATTAAAGAATTAGGTTTTATAATTAATACGGTAAATGATACTATAACTTTTGGAAATTCGGTAATAAAATTTAACTCGATAAGCGTAGAGCGAAAGTCAGCTCGAGCACCGACGCGTTCAAATCATTGAAAATGAAGTAGAACGGGTGGGCGCAGATAATATAACGTGGTGGGAGGGTATTTTTTCCGTGAATAAAAATGCACCGATCCGGGTTATAAATACGACGTCACAAAACGATAAAATTTTCGGTGATCCATATGAAATCACAGTGCAAGAAATAGATGAGAAACTATCAACTTGCGAAGTGAAAGATGAGCAGACTATCAAAAAATTACGCGAGATAATTTTGAAAAACCGACGGGTGTTTTATAAGAAACCGGGTCGATTGATAAATGTTGAGTACGAACTGAAGTTAAAAGATAACAAACCATTTTTTGTTAAGCCGTATCCAGTACCATTATATATAAAGTACGTAGTGAATTAAAAACGTTGTTAGAATGGGAAGTAATACGTGAGTCAAATAGTCGCTACGTCTCACCACTTGTCGTAGTAATAAAAAAGGATAAATCAATTCGGTTATGTATGGATGCAAGACGATTGAATGAACAGCTCGCGGAAGATTATGTGTCTCCGTGTGGAGTTGAAGACATCCTCCAGCGGTGTTATGGCGTTACGACTATGTCAAGCCTAGATCTAGTTCTTTCTACCAGGTCGCGCTGGCGGAGGAGTCGAAAAAATACTGCGCCTTTATGTTTGAAGGCAAAGTTTATGAGTTTAATGTAATTCCCTTCGGGTTCAATGTGAGTGCATCAGCGTTGATACGAGGTCTCGATACAGTAATAACAGGTATGGGTAACCATTTGTTGAATTTTGTCGATGACATGTTGATTATATCGCGTAACGAAGAGGAGCACTTAGCTCACGTTAATGAATTATTGGAAAGCTTAGATAAGCACAATATAACGTTAAAATTAAAAAAATCAGAGTTCTTTAAAAAAGAAGTTGAGTTTTTGGGATTCACTCTTACTAAAGAAGGTATAAGGCCTCAATCCAACAAAATAGATTTAATAAAATCTTTTCCGCCTCCCAAAAATGTCAAGCAGTTAAAAAGCTTTATGGGAGTAATAAATTTTTATAGCAAGTTTGCACAGAATGATGCCTCGCTGTTATTTCCACTCTTGAAATTAGTAAGAAAATCTGTCAAATGGGGGTGGGGGGACAGTGAGAATAAGCAATTCGAAAAAATAAAGGCTTTGTTTGCTCAGGAAGTATGCCTCGCATATCCCGATCCAACGAAGCCATATTATTTACAGACCGATGCATCTAATTTTGCATTGGGTGCTACGTTGTCACAAATGAATGACGACAACGAGGAATGCCCGATAACCTTTATAAGCCGAACGCTTAAAGGGGCAGAACTAGCATATAATACTACTGAAAAGGAGCTTTTGGCCATAGTATGGTCACTTCATAAGCTGAATACATACTTAAGAGCAGCTGAAATATTTATAAAAACAGACCACCATGCTTTAATTTTTATGTTCAAGTCGAGATTTGCTGGTCAAAGAATTCAAAGGTGGATTTTAAGCATACAAGATTATAATTTAAAGTTCGAGCATGTAAAAGGTGTACATAACACGGTCGCTGACTTATTAAGTCGACACCCGCTTTACAATCTAAGAGATTATGATAAGCCGGGCGAGTTAACAATAGCTTTGTCTAAAATTCAAAGATTTTCAAAGAATCTGTCTGCTAAATTAGCGACTCTCGCTAGCCAGCAGAGATTAGAGCTACAGTTGAAAAATATAATTGATTCGTTAGAAGCAAATGATGAAAAAATTAAAAATAAGTTTGTTTTACAGAATGGTCTATTATGTAAAAAGCAATCAAATTCAAATAAAATTGTTATACCTCTAAGTTGTATAGACGAATTAATAACTGAGACGCACTTAGCGTACGGCCACTTAGGCTCAAAGAAATTAGCTAAGCTTCTTAGTGAACGCTTTTTCATTAAAAACATGAAACACAGGCTGTCCCTTATAGTGGCAAGCTGTGATTTGTGTCAAGTAAACAAACACTGCACTCGTCCGAATCTCGCCAAGCAGCAGATTATATTAACATGTAAGCCGAGCGAATTGTTGTGTATAGACTTTCTCGGGCCATTGACTCCGTCACGTTATGGCATGCGAAATGTTTTGGTAACGATTGACGCGTTCTCGAAATTCGTTGTATTGTATCCGTGCCGAAAACAAACTACGTCGTATGTAATTAAGTTGTTAAAAAATGATTATTTTCAGCGTTATGGTAAACCTCATGTCGTGTGTTGCGATCACGGTAGTCAGTTTACTTCAAAAAGTTTTAAAACCGCTATGAGCGCGGAAAATGTAAAATTAACTTATTCGTCTATAAGACATCCAAGCTCCAATGGAATTTGTGAGAGAGTAAATAAAACATTAGTGACTTTTTTAAGAATGTTTATAAAAGATAAGCACACAGCATGGGAACCATATATAAAAACGATTCAAGATATTATGAACGAAACACACCACGAAACCACGGAATTCACCCCGCTCGAACTCCACCTCAACATGAAACCAGAACGAATATGAGATAAGTTGCTTGGAGTATCACCGATTGACGATGCTATACCGGTAGAACGAAAATATCAGTTAGCTTACGATCGAATCAAGAATAAAAGGTCGAGAAGGGCAGATAAAGTAAATGAAAAACGTGGAAATCGCGATAAATTCTTGGTGGGCGATAAAGTTTTGATCAAGTGTAAGAACACGTCAGATCAGGAAAATAAAATACTCGCAAAATTCATGCAGATATACGAAGGTCCATACAGCATTAGAAGTATACTTGGTGAAAATACCTACCTTCTGGAAGATTCTAATTCTCGGGTCAAAGGCCAATTTCATGTCAACGACCTAATACGATATAAGCAAAGAGAATCAACAAATCCGGCGACTATATAAGGAGCAGAATTACCCGTGTAGTTATTAGTCTTGTATTATCTCGCAAAGCGTGAGAATGAAAGTTGACAAGTTTACGAATAGGCAAACACACGACGTCGCGATCCAGGCCCAGGGTCCGGCTGAGTTGGCGCAGAGAGCGTGGGTAGTGCATAAGCCACCTTTACCACCAGGTCCTCGTGGCCTCATCGTCAAGACGAAGCCGAGGCCAATAGCAAAGAAGTGCCGCGGGAGAAAAATGCCGGCTGGGAGAGCGACTCAGACGGAGAAGCCATCCACGTCTGAAGTAGCGATACAAGTAAAGAGAGAGGAGTTATACCCGTTGATGGGCCTGCAGACTTACCCGCCAAGCCCAATGGACTCGAGCAATGACGAGTTTTTCTTTGTTTTGCCGAAAGACTACCTGCCGCCGAAAAGGGGAATTCGGTCAGCGAAATTCAAGGAGCAACTGAGCAGGGAGTTCGAGGACATGTGGTAAGAAGAACTGGGATGAAGATTGTGAAGATGTCATATCTCGTTGTTTAATTTATGTAACATTTTTTTTCTTTTTCTTATTGTATGTTTAGGCGAGAAATAGGCGAGGAGATGTGTGGCATCATGCGACGAGGGCAGTGATATGCGAAAATTTTTTCTGTTATTTTTGTAATTTCTTTCTCTCTTTTCATTAACTTCATATACCATACTTTGTAATAGTTTTTTTTTCTTTTGGATTTGTTATAATGATTTCTGTTCTTCTGGGGGTTCATTTGCAACTGCGGAAAAACTATACTTATTTATATAGAGTCACCGATCATAGTGTTATATGTATTGTTATAAGATAAATTTTCTTTATATATTTTTTCCTTACTAGCAAATGAGGGGACAATGTGACACTACGGATCAACGGCTAAGAACAGCTGATGTCTTGTTATTACAATCAGCTGTTGTACCCCTACTATGACAGCTAATCAGCTGTTATATCCCTGCCTTGACAACCAGTCAGCTGATCGTATCCCTTCTTTGACAGATCAGCTGATGGGTGCCGCGGTAGGTTATTTTGGCGCGAGCTGTGCGCTATAAAAGGGCCAGCTCGAGCTATGAAGAATCAGAAGCCTTCGGTTGGCGACTCACGGAGCAACTCATAAAGCTCTAAGCCTTGCAACCATAAAGCAAGTAGCAGCTCTCGGCGACGATCTAGCAACTTATACCGAGCAGATATCGTCGAGGCTGGTTACAGTTATAGGAAATTCTTATTCGCGTTCGCGCGTATAGCGGCTCACTTGTATTAGTGTTGCGATATAGAATTTGTAAATAGTGTATATAATATTATTGTAAATAAATCATTATTGTTGAGTTACACAAACTCTACGTGTTGTGAATCACACAGCCTTTTCCTCTTTTCAGGACGCGGTGTAGAGTTTGCTTGTAAAGTAAATTTAGCTTCAAATATTTAAATATTCTTTTATTATTTCTTTTTTTGCTTATTTTGATTGAGAAAAGTCGAGTCACTTGTTCGCATATCACCAAAAGAGAGAGACAGCGGACCACGGGAACGCACAACTTGGATAAAAATTTTATTATTATAATTTTATTATTTTATTATTATTTTATTTTGTTATTGAATTATACGTATAATGATGAACGAAGATTTGAAAGAACAATAAGCTGACTTCAGAAATCTCTTCCATTTTGGTAACATTCAGTTTTTCTAGTGTATAATGATCTCTTCCTCAAAAATCTGAAATAGTAATAATATTTATAATTATTTGATGATTTAAAAAATGCTCTTTAATTATTTGAGAACAATTTTATGCAGTGATCTATGATTCTAGCTGATAAATTTTTCTAGCATTCTAGAAAATATTATTGATAACTAACAATTGATTCCAAATGATTTTGGAATCAATTGTTGGTCAAAATAACATTTTCTATATGTGTTCTATATATGATTTTTTATATGTGAATATCTGAAAATATATCAGAATTTTATCATGATGAATTTAATGATGAATTTAATAATGAATTTAATGATTTTTCAAAAATTTTTAAAAATGATGTCCTGAACTTGATTCTTCTTTATCAACTATTTACTAATTATGTCTAGATTCTTATAAGGATATAAATATGAGGGCGTAGATTACCTGACTCAATTGATCTTGTTTTGTTTTAAGAATCTGACTTTTTATCGGTTCTGAACTCTCATGACGAGAAGTATAAATTTGCTTAACTTTCTTAGGTGTTTTAATATCACTCGTATGAACCAATACTGGTTGGTCAATGTCTTGCTGCATGCAAGGAGTTTGAATATGAGACATTGTGCTCGAAGTTGAAGAGCAAATTACATCGCATGCTAATAAATTAGAATCTGAAATTCTTACATGTGAACTCAATTTTCCTTTTTCCAAATCTTGCCTTGAAAATTTTTTTGAATGCGAATTTTGAGAGTGACTTTGTGCTCGAACGCTTCTACTATTAGGAATTCCGACTGTATCCTAAATAACACACACCAACACACACATTTTAGTTTCAAACAAGTATACGAAAGGCATGAATTAAATCTATACAATTATTGAAAACATTAATACAAGAACATACATTTTTTTGAATTTTGCATCGTGAAATACCATTCGTGCCCTGGCATAGTACATCGTAAACACTTTGCCGAAAGTTACGAGTCATGAAGCAGTAGACTATAGGATTAAGGGCACTATTTGCATGTCCAAGAAAAAGACAGTATGATAAAGAATTGATAACACTCTTCCTTTTATCTGAAAAGATTATTTCAAATGCTAATTGTCAATAATATCAAGTTTATATTATCACGTACCAAACCTTCTTCAAATTAAATAAAAAATACCAGGGCATGGCGTGACCCCAGGTATGATGAAATAGTGTATTACTGCCCTAGGCCGGGAAAAATAGAAAAGCCTCAGTGCACGTGCTAATCGACCTCGGCTTCGCCTCGGTCGCTTATTTCACGTGCCCTGGGACTTTTCTATTTTTCCCAGTATAGGCCAGTATACGATTTTACATACCCCGGGCCCGAAAATAGCAATATCCCGTTTAGCGCAGCGGCCGGGACTTTAGTGACATTTTATTTATCTTTTGTAATTTATAAACTAATAGGTTTATTGCTGCGTTATTGTTTTCCACAAGGAAAATTTCATCCTAGTTTTCTTTTTCACATAGATATAAAAATTCTTTTTGTTAGTTAATGATTTCAAAGGGAAATGGTCCGTAAAAGGCTTAGTTATTTTATCAGCACTTGCATTGAGGATACCTTTGACAAAAATGTGATCAATGCAGGATCCATTACATCGATCCCCATAACTTGGATGTGGGTAAGTGTTCATCAAAGATTGGTAACCATTCTGGGACAGGTTGTAAAAACAATCCTCAGTGTTCTTTACAAGAGAAAGCAGGTCAATATTACTGTCTCCCAATATCAAGTGATTATCGACATCTCTACTATGCAGTATCAGATCACTATGATCTCTGTTGAACAACTAAATACTATAATCGTGACATCTATACAACCCTGTAATCTTGAACTTCTTGTGACTAGATAATTTCACAATGATGCTGAGTGCTTTAAGGCTCTGAAAATTCTCATTAATGACATGATATTTCAAATCTTTCTTGACATAGATAATTACATATGACATAGATAAATACATAAATAATTATCAGATCTATTGATTCTACTATCATTATTAAAGTGCAGATAACCATCTATATCTATGAAACTCAAATCATCACACAACCAACATTCAGAGCACACAATCACATGTGGTTTATGAACAAGTGACCCTATCGTAGCTTCAAGCCGGTCAATATTCTTTCTTATGCTTCTAACATTAACGTGCAGTATCAGAAGTCCAGACTTAGAAAACGTTATATTTTCATTTACTCCTCTAATTAAAGTAAATTCATATTCTTCACTGATTTTATAATTTTCTTTTTGCATAGACTATATTGATTTTTTATTTGTTACTTTATTTTAAAAAGGTAGATCTGGTTTGTAGGGATAATTTGTATCACCTACATATTGTTCCCATCTGATTCTATAGTTTGAACATTTTTTTATGTCATCAGCAAAGTGATCAATTGGCCTTTGTTTCTTCGAATTCTTATTGGCATTTACACAGTAAGTACATTTAGAAAACTCGGAGTTATATTTTTTGACATCATGATTACCCGCGCATTTCTGACATATCTGGGGTCTGCGTAAGATCTCAGTAAACTTTTTATATCCATGGTTATATTCACAGCAGTTTTTACAGCTTCTGATATTAAAATTGTCATAAACTCTACAGTTTTTACAACCCACAAAGACTGACTTATATTTCATTATTTTAGCGTATGCTTCACTTGTAACTTCTGCTAGGATACCGTTTTTGTTATTCTTCTGCTTATAAGTACGCAGTACTTTGACACTATCAGATGATAAATCATTTCTCACAATGATGTCATTAGAGAAAACTACATTATTACTAGAGCCCGGATTATATGCAAAAAAAAATCCAAAATATGCATGCAAATATGCACAAAAAATCTTAAAAATACGCAAAAAATATGCAAAAAAATATGTTGAAAATATGCAAAATCAGTTAAAAATATTTGAAATATGCAAAAATAATAGAAATATGCATTTATGTAGTTTGAATTACCAGTTCTTTATTTAAAGAGAATTTTCATTAATATTGTAGTACATATGGACTACCATGTATTTTTCTATATTTTCCATTGTTAAACTACGCCTTCTATCATTTAACATAACTTTATAGGTTGAAAATGATCTTTCAACGTCAACCGAAGTGGTAGGGCAATATTTGAAATTGGGAATTATGCTTGGAGACACAGTCTTAGGAATTCAATATTTTTTTTAGTATTAAAAAAATTATCTATTTGACATAATGTAGAATATCCTGGATTATTCGCTAAAATATTATCTAATTTTTCTTTAATTTCTCCTAAATAATCTGGAATTTTAGTTGTTTTTACAAATGCTTCTTTAATAATAGAAATCGCATCTCGCAGAGGCAAATTTTTTGTTTCCAGTTTAGTAATGCATTTTGGTATATACGAAAAGTGTGTATTTATAGTAGCCAAATCTCTTCTGATATTGTCGTCTTGGAAAGCTGCTTTACATTGCGGAATTGAGATGGCCTCAGAATCTTGGAATTGCATAATAACTTCTCTGATTACTTCAAAATTTTCATGATAAAACGAAGTCGCTTCAATCCACGTCCCCCAACGAGTGATAACAGGTTCTGGTGGCAAAGGGAGGTTTGCTAGTATTTCTTTATACTTCAATATTCGAGAAGGTGCCTTCAAAAAAACTTTTTTGTTTGTTGAAATCAATTCATTTACTTTGTTAAATGATGCGCGAATTTTTTCAGCTAAACGATGAAGCGCATGAGCAAAACATGTAACATGAATCATGTTCGGATAAAATGGTTGCAATGCTCTTCCGGCCTTCAACATGTACGGTGCTGCATCACTCAAAAAAATGAAAATTTTTTCATCCGGAGAGTCCGGATAAAATAAACTTGTCAGAGAGTCATTTACAAACCTTGCCACCGTAGAGTGATTCGTTTTTTCTAGTTGACGACACGTAATGAGGTACGATGGTGAAGGTTCTGTATCTAAAGATCCAATGACCAGATTCGCTATATACCGACCACTACTATCGGTAGTTTCGTCGGCAGAGATCCACAGTAGTTTATTATCTAGTTTTTTTCGTATCTGATTCATAGTTTCTTGATAAACTTGGGGAACGTAATTTTTGCGCAATGTCGATTCATCTGGCACATTTTGATGTAAACAATACTTTTTGAGAAAACCTTTCAGATGTGGATTGCTTAATTTGTAGAAAGGAATATTGCAAGCGATAAGTGTCTCGCACAAATTTTTCGAAAATTCATTTTGCTGCGGGGTTACTACCACTTGAGATAGTTGCGTTTGTCGTATTTAATAGTTGCGTTTGGCATATTTAATACTGTATAGCGTAGTACTGCGTAGATTTTGAAAATCTTTGATCGTTCAAAACTTTATTTATTTTCATGTTGAATATTTAGGTAATATATAGGTATATTAATTGTGTCCCATCAATACATATGTATGTTTATTTACTGTATTGTAATATCAAATATGTATGTATTGTCTGTGGCATCCGTCATAGCCTTACCAAATAAACTAGTAATAATAATAATAAGTTATATCAAATATATTATTAATAACATATTTGCTATTTCTATTTATTATTAATGATAGTTTAGACATTAAATCTTTGCTATTCAAAGACGTTTTAATAATCTGAACACAATAGCTCATGCTAAATTTGTAAAAACTTGAAAACTTGGACATTCGACGCAAAATATGCATAAATATGCAAAAATAATATTGCATATGCATTTAAAAAAAAAAGGCAAAATATGCAATTTCATATGAAACGTATGCATTTGCATATAATCCGGGCTCTAATTATTACCAGGACATGACAATTCGTTATTCGAATTTAAGGGTTATTTTTTTCACAGGTGTTGGCAGAGACTATTTTACTGTTTTCTCCATTCGAAATATTTTTTATATTCACAATATCTTGAGCATTGCTGCACTTAACATAAACATTACCGTTCTTAGCCTTTCTTATACTCAACACTTAAGCACTGGTTTTTTTAGCCACCTGATTTTTAACAATATTTAGCATATCACCTTTGAAATTACTTTTTGGTTTCACATTTAGTCGAAAGTATTCTTTATTTTTAGGCACATCTGATTTATCTACACTAGCATATGAATTTTTTATTTCAGCCACATTTTTCTCGTTAGCTGCTACAAGGGATCTAAAGAACGTATTAGATTTTCTCAGCTCATTATTTTGTTTTATCAATTCTGCACTAAGTTTCTTCTCATGGCTTAATTCCTTCATATATTTCTGACAGTCACTATAATCATTTGTTAAGGCGAGCGAACGGTGGTGTTCCTTTGGCCTTGGATGTTTTGTGGTCCTGAAAAGGACCGTTTGTTTCTTTGATCGTAACTGTAGAGTTTAACTGTAGTAACTCTACAGTTGACTGAACAGCACGTCGATCTTGGCTAAAAGATCGAGGCCTACGTTTGGGGTCCTGAAAAGGACCGAGATCGATGATACGTTTCAGAGTTCGACTCTGTCCTTGGCGGTCGATGTGGCAGTTGAAACCCAAGCTCGATATGGTCCGTGGCGATCGCAGTCCCAGCAAGGTCGATTGATCCGGGTTGGCGCCGCTGCTCAGTGTGCCGGAAGGTCTAGGCAACACTTACTGATCGATCGGAATCGAGTTGTCCGAGGCTAGAAGTGCCCGATACTTAAGCGCTGGCGGGCACACATTGCTTGAGGGTGCCGGCTCGGCACCACCTAGCGGCCACTGTCGAAGCTTCGAATGGCCGAAATGGATGAGAAGGCGGGGAAGGGAGTGAGAAAGATAAGTCATTGTGTTTTGCTGAGACAAAGTTAAATTCTTTTATTGCGAATTCGTCCCTATCCAGCCAACAACTTTGTGTAACTCGAACGCGTCAAATTACAAAGACTCTGAAAGCCAGAGAGTTGTGCAAACTTCGGATGGGCCAGAAGTTGTGCTCAGCTCAAGAGCTCGCGAGCGAATGCCAGCAGCGGCCTAGCACGCCGGCTTATATAGCGCGACGTAGCGGTGGCCCCCACCACCGCCACCGGCAGTTCGCTTTCGTTTGGGGAAAGGCGACGATCACAGTGAGTCTGAGAAATGGC